GTTAGGTCTATTGTTATTAGCTAGGTTGATTTTTATTAGTTAGGTCTATTGTTATTAGCTAGGTTGATTTTTATTAGTTAGGTTGATTGTTATTAGTTAGGTTGATCGTTATAGCTAGGTTGATTGTTATTAGCCAGGTTGATTGTTATTAGCCAGGTTGATTGTTATTAATTAGGTTGATTGTTATTAGCTAGGTTGATTGTTATTAGTTAGGTCTATTGTTATTAGTTAGGTCTATTGTTATTAGCTAGGTTGATTTTTATTAGTTAGGTTGATTGTTATTAGCTAGGTTGATTGTTAATAGTTAGGTTGATTGTTATTAGCTAGGTCTATTGATATTAGCTAGGTCTATTGTTATTAGTTAGGTCTATTGTTATTAGTTAGGTCTATTGTTATTAGCTGAGTTGATTGTTATTAGTTAGGTTGATTGTTATTAGTTAGGTTGATCGTTATTAGCTAGGTTGATTGTTATTAGCTAGGTTGATTGTTATTAGTTAGGTCTATTGTTATTAGCTAGCTTGATTGTTATTAGCTAGGTTGATTGTTATTAGCTAGGTTGATTGTTATTAGCTAGCTTGATTGTTATTAGCTAGGTTGATTGTTATTAGCCAGGTTGATTGTTATTAGCTAGCTTGATTGTTATTAGCTAGCTTGATTGTTATTAGCTAGCTTGATTGTTATTAGCTAGGTTGATTGTTATTAGCTAGCTTGATTGTTATTAGCTAGGTTGATTGTTATTAGCTAGGTTGATTGTTATTAGCCAGGTTGATTGTTATTAGCCAGGTTGATTGTTATTAGCTAGGTTGATTGTTATTAGTTAGGTTGATTGTTATTAGCTAGGTTGATTGTTAATAGTTAGGTTGATTGTTATTAGCTAGGCCTATTGTTATTAGTTAGGTCTATTGTTATTAGCTAGGTTGATTGTTATTAGTTAGGTTGATTGTTATTATTTAGGTTGATTGTTATTATTTAGGTTGATTGTTATTAGTTAGGTCTATTGTTATTAGCTAGGTTGATTGTTATTAGTTAGGTCTATTGTTATTGGCTAGGTTGATTGTTATTAGCCAGGTCTATTGATATTAGCTAGGTCTATTGTTATTAGCTAGGTCTATTGTTATTAGATAGGTTGATTGTTATTAGCTAGGTTGATTGTTATTAGCAAGGTTGATTGTTATTAATTAGGTTGATTGTTATTAGCTAAGTTGATTGTTATTAGTTAGGTCTATTGTTATTAGCTAGGTTGATTTTTATTAGTTAGGTTGATTGTTATTAGCTAGGTTGATTTTTTATTAGTTAGGTTGATTGTTATTAGTTAGGTTG